ATGAAATGTGAAAACACTGCTTTCTTTAACGTTTTTACAACTTTGAACGTCAATTACAGCAAACGGATAATCAAAATGGAATATCGTAATCACTACAATAATACTATGAATACTCGTTACATTCCCCAAACATTCAGCTTTCATATGCATCTTTTGGATCTATTCCACTTTTATAGTTTCCGAGAAAATCAATGAAATGTGAAAACACTGCTTTTTCTAACGTTTTTACAATTTGAACGCAATTACAGCCAAACGGATAAAACTACAATAATATATGAATACTCGTTACATTCCCCAAACATTCAGCTTTCATATGCATCTTTTGGATCTATTCCAGCTTTTATAGTTTTTGAGAAACATTAAGTAAAAACCTTCAAATTTTGTGAAAAGGTGACAATGAATCATAATATCAAGTAATTAGTTGTCTTTTCTTTTTGTATAAATAAATTAGTTCCAAGTAGAGGTCAATAGCAGAAGGGTTTTCTCCATTTCTTCATTCACCGATTGCTTCATTATTTTGTTTCGTGTATAAGAGAATAGCCGTAATCATCGGCAGCAGGTAATTAAAAACGCATCCATCGAATTGGGGATTTCTCGAGATTATCCTTCGACATTTGCAAATGATTCCGGGAAACCTGTTCGACGGTCTCCAACTATATAACATGCAGCCAAAGCGAAGAATGCCATCAAACCATCGTCCGACTTCACTGTTTCAACATCAACGAAGATGAAGATCGCCGTCGTTTTCGCCGTCTGCTTCATCGGCGCTCATTCCAATCCAGTTCCGCGTAAGTACAAACTTTATTTTGTTTAAAATTATTATGTTTTAAGTTACTTGTCAATTTCATTTGTCATTTTCACTTGTTTATCCTGTCAATGTCAAACTGACGTTTAAGTGTCAAATTGATTTCAGATGGCATTGGACAGGTTTTCACTGGTACGTTTCCTTTTGGGTCATCGCAACATCACGGTGGTTTAATCAGCGGTGTATTTAGTGGCAATAATAAGAATGGAGGTATGAAAGATCAATTTTGACGTTTGTGATGTTATTTTGACGTTTGACGTTTTTGCAGTTGGAAAACCTTTAGGTTTCGACTTTGGATCAAGCGGTGATGTATTTAGTGGACATTCCGGATCGAGTTCTGGTGCTTTCTCCGGATCAAACGCTGCTGGAATTGGTGGACATTCTGGATCGATTTCTGGTTCGAATTCGGGTGCTTTCAGTGGATCAAATTCTGATGGATTCGGTGGACAATCTGGATCATCATCTGGAGCTTTCTCCGGATCAAACAGTGCTGTATTTGGTGGACATTCTGGATCGATTTCTGGGTCAAATTCTGCTGCTTTCTCTGGATCAAACGGCGGCGGATTTAGTGGTAATTCAGGATCGACTTCTGGATCAAGTTCGGGAGCCTTTTCTGGATCAAACAGTGCTGGATTTGATGGACATTCTGGATCAACTTCTGGCGCTTTCTCTGGATCAAACAGTGCTGGATTTGACGGACATTCTGGATCAACTTCTGGAGCTTTCTCTGGATCAAACAGTGGTGCATTTGATGGACATTCTGGATCTACTTCTGGTTCAAAATCCGGATCTTTCTCTGGATCCTCTGCAGGATCTTTTTCCGGATCAAACGCTGCTGGATTTGGAGCTCATTCTGGATCCAGTTCCGGCTCATTCTCTGGATCAACATCTGGTGCACACTCCGGTTCCGGTTCCGGATCGTTTTCCGGATCGTACAGCGGCAGTACACATTTTGGAGGTCATCACAATTCAAATTTCAATGGTCACGATGATTCATATTCTGGTGGTCATCACTCTGGTAGCCATGGTGATTCATATTCTACCGATCATGATGATACTTATTCTGGTGCCCATCACTCTGGTAACCATGGTGATTCACATTCTACCGATCATGATGATGGCGATCATCACGGTTCGCATTCTGGTAGCCATGGTGATTCATATTCTACCGATCATTATGATGATTCAAATTCTGATGGTCATCACTCTGGTAACCATGGTGATTCACATTCTGCCGATCATGATGATGATTCATATTCTGGCGGCCATCACGGTTCTCACTCTGGTAGCCATGGTGATTCACATTCTACTGATCATGATGATACTTATTCTGGTGACCATTCACACTCTGGTAGCCATGGTGATTCATATTCTACCGATCATGATGATGATGATTCATATTCTGGCGGTCATCACGGTTCACACTCTGGTAGCCATGGTGATTCATATTCTGCCGATCATGATGATGATGTTCCATATTCTGGCGGTCATCACGATTCACATTCTGGTAGCCATGGTGATTCATATTCTGGCAGCCATCACGGTTCACATGCTGGTAGTCATGGTAATTCCTATTCTGTTGATCACGATGATTCCTTCTCCGACTCTTCCTCCGGATCAACTTCAGGAAGTCACAGCGGATCGTACTCATCTTCGGGATCAACAGCAGGAAGTCAGAGCGGTGCACATTCCGGTTCGCAATCTTCCTCGTTCTCCACCGCCTCTTCGAATTACGGCTCCAAACACGAACACGATACGGACTACTGAGAAACAGAAAGATATAAAAAAAACAACAATAACTATAAAGTAAACTTGAAAAAAAAATCAAACAACTAATAGTTATATTGCAGTGCGCTTTAGATAAATAAACTGTACAATTACTATACCGCAACGAACGATGATAATGTGTGCATTTCTTTTTTTTTTCCAAATTTCCTCTATCAAAAATTCAACAATGGCGTTTATCTAAATTGCCGGGGCAATAACGCCGACGCCGATCGCTATTTAAAACGCGCGCGCTCGCGCCTCCTTCTCGTTTCCATTGACAACCCGAAGATGCGTCTGCCGCGACCGGAGACGATGTTCCTTTATTTCGCGACGTGCGTCGGTGAGAAATTAAAAAAAAAAAAAAAATAACAATTCTTCAATTTTAAAATTTAAACAATTTCGTTTGTAGTGAACTTGATGAGTTTTTCGGCGACCATAGGATTGACGTGGACGTCTTCGGCGATTCCCAGATTGAAGAGGTCGGATGATTCGAATCCTCTGGGTAGAGAAATTACGGCGGACGAAGAATCGTTGCTCGGATCTCTGTACATCGTTGGATCTATTGTCGGGCCGTTTCTGGCGAGTCCGATCACCTCTCGTCTGGGTCGAAAGTTGACGATGGTCATCTTCACGTTACCAACGATCGCCTCCTTCCTGCTGGAAGCCTTCGTCGACGAGATGGCGCTGTATTATTTGGCGAGAGTGTTGGGCGGATTGACCGGAGGTTGCATTTACACGACGATTCCTATTTACGTCGCGGAGATCAGCGAGAGCTCGAACCGTGGCGCTTTGGCCGCCTTCTTCGGGATCTTCGGAACTCTTGGTAATCTGTTTTCTTACGCTTTGGGCACTTACGTGGACATCAAGATGTTCTCGCTGATTTCGCTGATACCGCCGACGCTGATGATCGCGTGCTTGTTGGGCTGCGTTCCGGAAACGCCCTACCATCTGGTCGCTAAGGGCGACGACGAGGAGGCGATACGTGTGTTGCGGAAATTCAGGGGCAAAGGGTGCGACGCGCATGGTGAATTGGTGCAGATCAAGAAGGCTTTCGAATGTAAGCAGGAACGGGTCGGATTCGGAGAGTTGATTCGGGATTCGAAGAAGGCGTTGATCATCGCCGTCGTCGGAAGCAGTCTGCAGCAGTTCACCGGGATCTACGCCATCCAGATCTACTTGCAGCCGATCTTCGAGATGGCTCCCGAGGGTCTCGATCCGGGTGTAGCGACGATCGTTATAGGCGTCGCCAAAGTAATCACCTTCCTGCTCACCGTGTTGACGGTGGACAGACTCGGACGTCGTCGTCTGCTGCTCACCTCCTCCATCGGCGTCTTCGTTTCACTCGGCAGTTTGGGCACTTTCTTCCTGCTGGAAACCGAACGAGTGCCATGGTTTCCAGTCGCTTGTTTGGTCGCCTTCGTCGTCGCCTTCAACTTCGGCATGGGAAGCGTCCCGTTGATCCTGCTGGGCGAACTCTTCCCGCCCAGATTCAAATCTCCTGCTGCCGTCCTCGCCGTCACAGTCTCCCAACTGCTCGCCTTCCTCATCACCTTCGCCTTTCCCCTCCTGATCCGCTCCATCGGGATCGGCTCCTGCTTCTGGATCTTCGCGGCGAGCGGTTTGATCTGCTTCGCCTTCACCTACGCCCTCATCCCCGAGACCAAAGGGAAAACACTGCTGCAGATCCAAGAACTGCTGCATCCCGAAAAGAAAACCATCACTTAATCGCAAACTAAAACAGAAGAAGTAGAAGAAACAAAAAAACAACATTCATTCGTTTCACCTTGACACTCTCTCTCTCTCCACCGACCGTTTTCACGTAACGTATCGGAGGTGGCGTTGGAGGTGGGGTTCAACCTGCAAGCAGTCGTGCACCAAATCACGGCCGCCTGCGCCGCGAATGAATGAACTATCATCATCTAGTGTGCCGCGGTTACTGTACCCAAGAAGAACGCGTCGCGACGCCCAAACAAACGCCGTCGCCGCATACACATCAAACAAAAAAACAAAACAGCAACATTCATCAATTGTTTTCGACGACGAATCGGATTTTATATTCAATTACGATCAGGTAAATCCAAATCACTAGATTCCGAGAATCGAGCAAAAACAAGTTATTTCGTATAATCGATAAATATATTTGAATAACGTAACGTAGAGTGCAGTATTTTACATTAATCATTAAAAATTCTACTTTATGTACTTCTTTCGGCGATCGTAAATTCATAATTGTTTCGTAATAAAACAAAAGTTGTTTCTTAAAAATAAAGGTTAATATTTAATCGTATATTTTTAATTTTATTAATTAATTACACTAATTTAATTTCATGTGTGTGTTTACTGTTGTTCATTAAATAAAGAGTGCTTTGTAAAAAAACAATTGAAACTGACAGATATTTGACAGATAAATCAATTAAAATTTAACTTTTTCACGTGTTCTCATTATGATACTTAATCATTTAGAAATGATCTCGTAATATTTCTGTTCGATATTATTTAATTATTTTTCGTTTTTGGGTTGGGTTAGGTTGTAATTGCAAAATCCGTGACTAAGTAAGTAAAAGAAGAAAACCCACCCGAAGGAAACGGAACGTTACGAAACGATCTCGTTAACTTAATGTGTGGACTGCACGAAATTAGTTACAAAACGAGAAGTGAATCATATAATTATGACTTTGCTCCGCCTCGAAGAACAGGAGCAGATAGATAGAGAGACTTTCGCAAATATCTTTCGATCTTCTGGTCCCCAAAACAATAATTAACTGAAGGTCACGCATCCAAATTCTTGATCAACTCACTTTCTTTTACACACATTTAATCCATACATACATTTCTCTAAATTATAATTAGAGTGTTTAAAAATTATCAAGTTTCGCTTAATTAGAATGAACGCGCGTGTGTTGATCGAAGTAGGCTTTTCAAACAAAACGCACACGCGAATGTACGCGCGTGTACATCGCAAACGAAACAAAAGAGCTAACATAAGTTATCTAACGTCACTACTCGCGAAATTTTGTTTGCGTGCGGCAAACTTTAGGAACAAAACAAAGTTTGCGACGACGAAAACAAACAAAAAAATAAACAAAACTCTTATATTAATTTTGTTGCAGGTTTCCCGGGAAACGCGGGCATCGATTTATGAGGTTCCAGGAGTACGCGCTCTGCTTGTAAGTATAAAGTATGTGTACGCACGCATCTACTTACCGCGAAAAGAAAAATTGAATCTCAACCAGAAGATCTTCCTCGACGTGCGAAAGTTATTTTCACTTCTTTTCCGGCGCTAAATATAAACGTTCCGCTCGAGAAATGCAACACTTCCATCAACATGACACCTGTCACTTCCGACGACGACCCACGTGACTTTTTTTGTTTTTAAAACATCTGTTTTTTGTTTCAATTAGCGAAACGCCATCGGACGATACTTTTCTCAATGCAATACGCGTTACTTGACAAGTTTTATATGTACAAGTGCAATCGTATTGCAGTTAACTTGCTTTGAAATTGAAAGATGACGTTTAAAAATTGCTCTTAACCTGTCATTTGTAAAATGGATGACGCTTGTTTCCGGTGCATTAGCACACAACTAATACCAGTCAAACTTCTTTTTTTTTTTTTTAATTTACGAATCAAGAAGGCATAAATTTATAAGAAAAAGAAAAAACAAAAGCGATTTAAATGTCAGCGTTCGACGATAATTCATTTCTTGGCTCTCTAGATTTGCCATAAAAAAAACGAATATATATATATAATTAGATTCGTTTCAGTTTTAATTTCGTATACTTTATGGCTCCTTTCGGACGTGATTTAATGTGTGCACACACACACACACGATTTGTTTCTTCTGCGTTTTATTTGAGATTTCGTCGCTGTTAGTTAGCATCATATTAAAGTTAGCTGCGAAACGTTATTTTTAGTTTTATCAAAGTTTACGCGATTCATTAGCGTTCGTTTTCGGTTTGTTTTTTCAGTTATATCCAATATTTTCGACGTCGTTACAGATATTTATTTAAAAATGTATTCAATTGTTGATTTGAAGTTATTATGGAGTTTTTAATTAATGAGTAATGAAATCAGAAAGCGGAGATGAACATTATCATCTGTAGTGTGGCCGCATCTGCTGGAAAATCTATATAATTGCCCGGAGGTAAATGTCAAAGGGCCGAACTTCCAATCGATTGTAAATCTGATTACGTCCGCATTCTCTATCTCTCTCTCTCTCTGTTTGACGATGATTGGTGCATAGTTTGTTTTTGTTTCGGTTGTCTAGGTGCGTTGCCAAGGCGACGTCAATACTGTTTCAGATGGGAATATGCATTTTTGCACGTAAAATGTTGTTATATAACGCCGAACGCGGCGATCTCTAGGTTACGCACGCCGGTGACGGCGATTTGGGTCAGACGGCGAGGCCGAAATGATTATAAAACACTTCTTGTTTTATACATTTTTCATGCTTTTTATTTCTCTCCCCGTTCCGTCGAAGGTCGATCATCTTGTGGTCATCGGGCCGGTGCTGCGTGGCCGTCGTCGTCTCCGGCTCCGTCACCGCCGCCGCCATCTCCGGGCTCTGTCCGGAGGTAGACGGATGCCGTCACCTTGACGACAGAACCCTCGTCTGCAGGGGCGTCGTCGACACCGATCCGGACCTGTTCCTCCCCAATGTCACGTCGCTGCGCCTCTGCCAGTACGAGAACACCACGCTGTACCTGAACAACATCCTCAGAAGGTTGCCACGAGTTGAAAACGTCACCGTCTCGTTCAGCAATTTCACCTATCTGAACGGCCCCACCAAAGAAAATTGGATCAAGGTACACAGACACACATTTTGACACCTGTCAAATTTGACGTTAATTTGCATTTTTCCAGAGTCTGATCATCAACAATTCGTCGCTCCGCCGCATCCCCGACAACCTCTTCTCGCACCTCAAGAATCTGCAGCTTCTGGACCTGCGAAACAACACTTTGGACAAGCTGCCCGTCTTCGTTAAGCAATCGCCCAGTTTGAAGGAAATCTACTTCGCAGGTGACGTCCATCTTCATTTGTTTTTTCTGGATTGCTGCGTGCTTTCTCGATCTCTAATTATATATCTCCCTCTTTTTTTTTATCCAAAGCGTTCTAAATTTACGGCCTGATAATCTTATTCCGTCCATCCGTCCGCCCACCCTTGACAAATTTATTATTGCTGATCCTTCCCATTTGCTTCCCGTTATAACCCGGCCGTAGCCCAGTTTTTATTACCCCAATTTACTCGTGTCTCGTTTATTTAAAAACTAAATACAGGAAACAAATGGAACTGCTCGATGAACATGGACTGGGCGTTGCGGCTGAACAGGTCCATCGTCAAGGATTTAGGCAACATGAGTTGCGTGGGCGCCAAGTACAACGATAAACCGGTGCTGCCAATCGCCAAATTCCTGCTGGTAAACAGGTAGCCAACCCCTAAACTTTGACCGTTTCTCTTTCTTCTTTCCTATGATTTGCAGAATTCGCAGACGAATTGTCCGTCGTACTGCGAGTGCGCCGTGATCAACGTCTTCTGGGACTTTTCCGATAGGTTGCAGCGCGTCGTCGAGGCGAACTGCTCGAACAGGGGCATCGACGAGCTTCCACTTCTGTTGCCGAACTTCACGAAGATCTTGCGAGTGGACAGGAACGGCATCAGCGATCTGAGTCCGCTCATAACGAACAAGGTTTACGAGGGAGTGCTCGATCTGTATTTGGATCACAACGAGGTGGAGAGCATCGAGGAGCTGGAAGGGACGCACTGGTTCTCCAATTTCCGGGTCCTCTCCCTGAACGGCAACAAACTCACTCAGGTTAGCCAACAGAATAATTTGTCCATCTGGAAAAGCGTTACGTAATTTTTACAGCTGCCCACGTACGCTCTGGAGAATTCGTTGCGGCAGAACCCGAACATGCCCGACGCCGTGCGAATGCATCTCGGGGGAAACCCCTGGAGATGCGATTGCGTCTTCACGCCCGGTTTCCAAGAGATCTTGATGAAATACGAGAAGCAAATCAGAGATATTGACGAAGTGAAATGCTCGTACGTCGAAGGAGACGAAAATTCTTTACTTCCGGTTAGCCTAAACATTACACACTTAATTAACAATCGATTAATTGCCAACTTTCAGATACTGAAATTGTCCAGGAGTTCGGTGTGTCGCCTACCCAACGAATACTCGATGAGGGCTCTGGATCTACTCAACATTATCCTGGCCAGCTTGATCGTGCTCGTCTTAAGCAAACTGGCCTACGACTATTATTACTTTAAGAGAACCGGAAGGCTTCCGTGGATTGTCACGAAGATGCCCTAGATATTAAATTATAAAACAATTGTTTTTGTTTTGTTCTTTTATTCGAATATTCAACGATTGTTCTACGTCAGCATAGCCTCGGATTCCCCTGAAACAAATGAATCGCGTAACAAAATGTAAACTCAAAGTCATCGTGATTTGTTACGTATGGTTTCCATCAGGTTTTGCTCGGTTATCTTTTTGACCCGTTCGACGACGTCGTTCGTCATCGTCTCCAAATTGTTCAGCTTGTCCAGATCGCGCGCCAACGTCTCGATGAACGGAAGCAAATTTTCCAAGTTGATCGCCGGATTCCCATCCCTAAATGTACAAATTACAAATTAAATTGATCAAACGCCTGATGAAGATGCAAACCCTTCGGTCAAAACAAATTCTTCGATCTCGTCATCATCGCTCGTATCGTTATCACCTAGTTCGCCTTCGTCCGCCGACATGAATAGATTTATGTTCTCCAAAAGCGAATTAATGTCGCATTGGATGTTATCCAATTCGGTTTGGTTATTATCTGGAACGTATTCTAAGATATAAATAAATAACAACAACAACAAAAGAATGATCACCGATTGAATCAGATTGAACGGTGTCCGCCATTTGCTCGTGCGCAATTGGTCCGTCGTCCGCCATCGTTGCGTCCTCCACCAATCGCGCTTCAGCTATTCCCTCGTTGGCCATTTCCGACATTTCCCGAACGCAAAAACCCCGCAAGCTACCGCGATTCCACCTGTCAAACTACGAATTTTTCACACATTGATTGGTTAGCAGACACTAACGTCAAAGCGTTTGTTGCCTAGGCGATCAGGACATTGTTTAATAATTGTGTTTTGTTTTCAATTAAAATGTATGTATTTCGTATATTAAATGTAAAGTTGTTACAATCAGGCTGCGATGTCGGCGATCTCGTAGACGTTTCCGTAATCTGCCATCATCGTCCTCAGACTCTCCTGTCCCAAATGCGTCTCTCGGTGCGGCGGTGCGGAAACCCTGTGGAAAGTGTCTACGGCTCTGCAGAGCACTTCGATGCCTTTGTCCACCTCCTGCTTCTCCATGTACTCGAACCCAGCGACGTACTGTTCCTCGCATATCTTCATCTGCATCACGTTGTCCGTCATCGAAACCTTCTTCTTGCATCTGGGGCACTTCATGTTCTCGTTGGGAATCGGCAGAGTGAACAAGTACGTGCATTTCTTCGTTGGACATCTAAAGTAAAGTAAATTACGTTGCTGATATCATCGTAATGTTTGTAGATGGCGCACCTGATTCTTCTGCTGGAGTTACCTAACCCGTCGATCATCGGCCAATCCTGGTTGCACGCTTGACAACCGCACGGGAACCAATACCGACCCGAAAGCGATTTCTGTCTATCAGCGAGCGTTCGCCTGGTGAAGATCGGTCCGTAATTTTCGGCGATCAATTCGCCGGGGTTCAATGGTCTCAGCGCGTTGATCACGATGTTCTTTCCGACGAAGTGCCTGAGAAGCAACGAGATGTTAGTTGCATAATCTTATTAGTTTCTTAAAATCACCTGCTGACGCCCGGATAACAGTCGTGGTTGAAGAGGGCGACGGTCGGGTAAATGGCTACTCCCACGTACGAGGCGACCGCATTCTGGAACTTGTGTCCCTCCTTATGTTTGGTTTCGTAAATCTCGTGCGCGTTGAATTGCAGCATCTGCAGATGGAACAGGAGGAGTTCTCCGACCGCCATCTGATTATCATTTGGATAAACTAAAGAAAAAAACTAAAGTTGCATAAGGTTGTATCACATACGATTACGTGATTTACCGTCTTCATCAACGTATCCGAAATATCCACTCTTTTGCAGACATCTCAACAGGAAGGCGGCCATCAAGGTTCTTTGCAGGAAATCGTCTGATGCGCGGTTTTCTGCCAAAGAGCAGAGCGAGTAGATGCGCTCGAGGGATCTGTCTTTGTTGATGGCGTACATCCGTTCCGGCGTATTCTGCGTGACCATCCTCAACGATGTGTGCGAAAGGATGCTCATACCTGATCCGATCAGCAGATCTAAGAATTTACATTCGAACTTGTGATAGGTGGCCATGGCTTCGTCTCTGCATTCTGCTTTGCAGAAGGCGACGCTCGCGCAATCCGGACATCCCACAGGTGATTCCAGTCTGTGAAATATCATACGAATTGAAATTGAAAAAGAATGACGCAATACTGGTTATCTAACCTATCCATGCAATGGTGACAGTGCGTCCCGAAGCAATCCGGAACCAAGCAAGCAGCGTACGGCGGCTCGCAAACTATCGTTTCCCCTGTGCTGATTGGTTCGCTGGCCACCACGTAACGCCCCTTTCCCACTTCCTGTTTCACCTGCATCTTGCGCGTCGCTTGCGGAAAGTTTGGATGCCTATCCGGAATTTCCGGTTTACCTACAACAAAAAACCAAATTAAAACCAAAACAAACAACTAGTTACAATAACTCACGTCTTCTGCAAATTTTGGTAACCTCTTTGTATTCTTTGTTCAAATTCTCATTCAACCTCTTGATTTTATCGGGATCATCCGCGTACAACTTTCTCGCCAACTCGGCCGAAACCGAAGATCTCTTCATTTCCCCTTTGGCTTTGTAGCAAACGGCCATCCGCTCGAAAGCCTCACCTTTAAGATCGCTGTCGAGGCCCTCCTTGATCGCAAACTGAATATCTCTGAGAGCCAAAGAGTGGTAATTGAGACGCATCAGAAGCTCGGAGCGCTCCCAAAGCGCCAAAACCAAAGAGAAACCATCGTCGATTTTCGGATTTTCACCTAAAAATATCAACATTTAACGATTAAAATAACAATTATTCGTTTGTTTCGTACCGGTTTTCGGCGCCCTCAGCACGCTCTGACTGTACAGCATCAATCCTTTCATTTGGTTACCATTGGTTACGGCTTTTTGCGCGTCAAATCGTCTCGCCTGAGCCACCTCCGCGCTTTTCTTCCTGTAAATTTCCTGCACGTAACAGAGAGTGCTGAAAACGGTTTCCCTAATCTGCGCATCAAAAAGAGAGATAATTTCAGTCGAATTATAGCAATTTTAATGAAAATTTACTGATAACTGCGTTGCATATCAATTACCTTTGGATCATCGTAAATGATGCGTATCCTCTCCCTGTCGCTCTTCAGCTTCCCGAAGACGTTCTTGATCCAATCCTCACCGGCCGTCGCCGCAACACTCTCGTAGAATTGCATGAAGAAACCCTTTTCGTTCGATTGCAGCGTCTTCTCGCTGCATATCGACATGTACGCGTTGTCGTGGAAACGGTTGCTAGACATCTTTATTATTATTATTGCAACTATCAACAACTACAACAACAGCAAATATTGGGAACGACCGAATGTAGATTGTAGCTTGCTGCGATCGCGATGCGACCGGCACAAAAATAGTCGGCGAACTGAAACTAAAATTAAAACATTCTGAAGCTGAAGCCGCCACTCGCATACTTCATCACGTGGGTCATCATCACTAAAGAAACTAAACAACATTAAACAAAAAAAGAAGGAGAAGGAAACGCATATCTTCTGAAAATAAACCATATTTTCCTTCGCAATCCCCAATTAACTTTACTACTTTTTTGTTTATCTATTCTCTTTTGTTTTTCTTGCAACGCACACTAATTAATTCAACGATACTTCTATTATGAACAACTAATTAAAAACAAAAGAAATGACAGATAAAATAAACAATTGAAATGACAAAAAAAAGTGTCTTGATTATCGAATATCCGAATTGTTTTCTCTTTTATTTTCTTCTGTGGATCAATTAAATCCGCTGAGCTTGCCAAAATTCCTGGCGCGTTTTCATTCGGTTCGCTTCAACCGGATTTAGTTTGTTTGTTTGTTATTTTTTTCATTTCACGAAGAAATACGAAATAATTCGCAAGAGATTACGGAATTCTTATCGTTCTTAATTAGTCATCTCGTTGGTTCGATAACGAATGGATCATCAGACGACGACTGGTGCAGTGACGTACGCCAACTTTGCGACATTTGTATTCATCGTCCGATCGTCCTTATCAACAAAACGATAACGAAAATCAAACTTTCATAAACAAAACATAGAAGAAGTGATCTTCGTCATCTGCTTTATTTTATTTATTGTACATTTGCAGCACATTCTTCATATTTTATCGTCGATGCGTGTATTTGAATTTGAATACGAGCGGCGCCATCTGACGGACAAAGAATCCATCAGCTTCTGACAGTCGGTCGAGTCAGGTGATTGTCCTGTGACAGTTGCGTCAACAAGCGGTTGCGTTGTTTTTGTTTTGTTTTCGCTTCTTGGTAGTGTTTGGTGGTGCTCTTCTGCACCGGCGATGTGGAGCGCAAGGAAGATGCAGGACGAGTGCGAGGAGGAGGAGGAGGAGGACCTGCAGGACGATGAGGTGAAAGAGCCCGATTCGGATTCCCGTGAGATGCTCTTCAGCAGCATGGAGTTCCTCGAGCAGTTCGCCGACTCCGTCGTCGACTACTCCTCCAGGTACAACAACTGCACCAGCATCTCGTATTCACCGGAGAACGTCACCGGGAAGCCGCTCAAGTATCCGCAGTACGGCGACTTCCCTGACACCTACATTCTTGTAAGACTTCCCATTTAATAGCTTAATCCGATACGTTTTAATCTTTCAATTTTCAGCGGACTTACGGCACCTGGTGGAAGAACTCGCTGGGGGCGCAATCAGAGTACGTGCCCCAAGAGGTGGACAGTATCGAATCGGAGGATTTCATCACGGTTCGGTGAGATTGATCACATCTCAATAATAACTTGATCACTTCATGATTAATTATATTTGTGCAGCTACGAAATAGCTGTCGTCCCAACGAAAATCATAATCTACGAGACTTACAATCCGGGCTCGGTCGTCCGCATCTTCGGACGCATTTGGGGCGGAGAATGGCATTCGCTGTACGAGGGAAAACCGGAGTTTTGCGAGAAGACTTCGCGCATCTTCCATCCACCTCTGAAGAAGATCTACGACATAGTTAAGTCCGTGAAATGGAAACGCGACGAGATCGCTCGAAAAGTGCGATGCATTAACCCAACTGTTTGCTTTCTTGCAGTGAGATTCGAGTGGAATTCAATCAGAGCCATCAGAGTTATCACACTTCCATCGATGCCATCCTCTTGGCTGGATACAAAGCGAAGAGTGTGCTGCAGATGATGCTGCTGAACAAAGCTCTGCTAGGTCCACCACCTTTGGACGATGACTATCTGGAACTGGAGAATAGTCCACCCATCGAACCATTGATCGATTACACAGACTCTCTTCCAGTAAGTCAATATTTAATTCAATTATTTTGTTATTAATGGCAACCGAAATATCAATATAATTCGTTTGTTATGCACTTAGCAACAATAATTGTATCCATAGCAATGTTGTTTATTTTGCAGAATGAAATTATGGTTCAAATCTTCCACTTTTTGGACCTGAAGACGATTTCGAATTGCGCTCAGGTGAATCGCAGATGGCGCGAGGCGACGATGGCTCCCACGATATTCAAAGCTTTGAGTTTGAAGGTTTCTCGATATTCTCTAATTGAGAATTCAAATTGTTAATTCCTCTTCTTTTCTGTTGTTGTTGTTGTTGTAGAAATATTGGGTCAAGATCGACAACAACACGTTGAAGTTCCTGAAGAAGCGATGCAAAACGTTGAGGAAACTGGATCTGTCCTGGTGCGGCAACAATTACCAGATCACCGAGGACGTTTTCCAGGAGTAATAACGATTCGAATGAAAAGAAAAAAACGATGATGATGACGAGAGTGCACTGTGTGTGTGTGTGTGTTTTCAGTTTCCTGAAGAAGTGCGGCACTCATCTGACGCATCTGTCGCTGTGCTGTTGCGAGTTCGTGAGGAACGTCGCCGTCGGGCAGATATCCAAGTGCGCGGAGCTCGTCGGTAAAGCAGGGATCTTTCTCATATCGAAATTAATCACCGTTCTGATCGTTTGATTTTTATCGTGTAACTTCGTAGATCTTCGATTGAGGAAATCGGAGCCGAGCGAATGGACTTACTCGCTACTTTCCAATTTGAACAAACTCGTCGCGCTGGATCTCTACTGCACCGCCATCCAGGACGAGTCTCTGATCAAGATTCTCAAGGCAAATCCCAGTTTGGAGCATTTAAACATTGGTACAATCAATATTCATAAATTTAAAGTTTTAATAACTGTTTTTTAGATCTTTGCGAGAACATTTTGCAAATGGACGAAATCACCGAGACTTTGGCTGCGAACAATCCGCGTCTCGTCTCGTTGAGCTGCTGGAAGCTGAGGAGTTTAACGCCGGATGGCGTTAAACACATAGGACGTCTGCACAGGCTACGAGAATTGGACATGGGCTGGTGTCTGCTCTCGAATCAACCTGGAGATTGCCTCGAACGCATCTCGCAAGGTTGCCCCGATCTCAGAAGGTACCCAAAATCACAAACGATTTCAATCTTATTTCTCTCTTATTTCTTTGCAGATTAATTTTATCGAATTGGCGAGGTTTGAGCGATCACCACTTGCTCTGCATAATACGTTCCTGCAAGAAGCTCACCCAACTCGACATCCTCGGCATTTGGAACATCACCGAAGATTTCTGCGAGAGAGTCTTCGTTTCGCTGCCGAATCTGCAGCTCTTCGACATAAGTTTCTGCAATGCGATCAGCCAAACTCAGGCTAGTTTTGTTGAATTATCTAATTAATTAACGTTTTCAACTGGAATTTCGTTTGGTTTGCAGGTGAAAACTTGGCGAGAAACGTATCCTTCCGTCACCATCCAAAGGAGCGAATCCGAAAACTGGAATTGAATCGACTCAACTGCGAAATTCTATTTAATCTTAGTCTTAGCCTTTAAGGTGCATGTTAATAAATATACTATGGTTTACGAACAATTCATTATTCTTTACTAAATGCCAAAAATTCCAAAAATCAATCAATTCGTATAGGCAACCCCATTTGCACATTCAAACCAAACGATAATCGATAATATACAATTAACATGCATTATTAATTAACGTTGGAATTAGTTTCAAAAGTATTGTTAAATGTAATTTTAAATTGGGAAACCGAAGATAGTTCAAAATTTGATCTTTCGCAGTTGGCATTGCTTCGATGTAGATGACGCTGTCGTTCATCGTTCGCTGTCGGTGGGTGAACGCGTCGGCGTGCGTTCCCGTTTTAAATCTTCAAAAAAAGTTATGAAAACTCATCTAGTGCAGTGAATTATCTTGTGCTTCTTTACGACCACAATCCAATTGAATTTCCAACGATAAACCGTGAGTAATTTGCTTATTTTTTCATTAATTACGTAATTATTTCCTTTACAATTCGGACGCTTCCAAAATGGCGTAAAGACGTGTTTTATCGCTTGTTTTTTTTTATTGCAAAATATATGAGGTTGGTAGCATCATTGCGTCCGTAGCCATCGTATCAGTTGTATGTTGTTGCTTTATTCAATTAAGTCGCAAGACGAAATCGCTCTAAAGTGCAGCAAATTCATGGATCCAATTCGATTGCAATTAATCGTGAGTAAATAAACATTTTTATATCAATAATTTCTATCTCTCGCCGCCGCTTGATGTTGCTAGTTTTCTCCCATTCGTTTCATCTATTCTAATTGCTCAATTAAGCTTGGCGTTGTATAAAAAATGTATTATTAATTAAACCGTACGATGCAAATCCAAATGGCGGAACGACGCTTTTTTTTTGTTATTGCCATTTCCTCCTCACACGCACTTTCGTTAAACTTAAAAACAATAAAAACTTGACTCGGATTAAATTTTGAATTAAATCGGTTGGTACGTCTTCTTGTGTCGGCCTCGCTCAGTCACAGTTCGATCCTCATTGCGCCAGGGTGCGTTAGCGTTTTGAATGTTCATAAAGTTGTGTAAATCATGAGAAATGTAGTGAATCGTCATGTACTTTGAGAATTTCATCAGCAGAAAACTCAATCCAATTCGATCGATACCAATAAACAGTGAGTAATTACATTTCAATAAACCTATACGAAAGTGGCGTGTTTGAGACCAGAAAGGTGGCAATTTAATAATAATATTTCGTATTATATTGTTTTCTCATGGCTTCCTATGAAATTAGACAAAATTATTTAAAAATATTAATAATAAAATGCATTATGATTTATAAATCTAATGTATTTTCTATTTTTTTATCGGAATACGTTTATAATTTATTCGCAGCTGCAAGTTTTATCTCTTTTTTTTTTGTTTGTGCAGTGGGTTTTATTTTTCTAGAATTCTGTTTTTTTTATTTATAAATCTAATGTATTTTCTATTTCTTATCAAAATCCGTTTATAATTTATTCACAGCTGCAAGTTTAATCTCTTTTCTTTTGTGCAGTGGGTTTTTGTTTTTCTAGAATTCTCTTTTTTTGTTGCAGATTGTTGAACACCTGCGTTTATAAATGCGTGGCGCTGATTGGCCGAGACGCATCTCTCGATCGGTTCACCATGCAAATGCACGCAGTCATTTATTGTGCGTGGTTGCGAATGCATCGTCGACCTGCGTCTCCCAAGAAAATTCAACATTATCCATTCATCCGCCGCCGCAATTAACAAAGGTTAGTGCATTAACACAATATTTAACCTCATCTACTGATTGCCGTAATTCCCCGTTCTGTATTATTATTAATTTGTGCCGCAAATTCGATTTACAATTCCACATTTCGAAATGACGCTTCGCGTCCATCTTGAAATTTTCAACAACTTTTTTTTCCATACGCAATAAACGCCAATTCTATTTTTGAATTCCCACAGCATTTTAAATTCTATATTACCTACTCATAATTGCTTTACGCGATTGTTTTTAAATAAGCAATTATCAATATTTTCTAATTAGAAATCAGCGCTCTCTATAGTCGAATCAAGCAAACACACCGATTTCGCTTGGTGATTGTTACTGCGTCGGCGTAAGTTCGCTCATTACTCGTTATTGTGCAATTCATTCAAATTTAAATAATTATTCTACATGTTTGGAGAATAAACATCGGTGAAACAATCTAATTAGATTTTCGTGTGGCTAATTTTAATTTAAATATTTTTCTAATTGAAATATGCGTATTCCACGAACATCTCAATAGCGTTTTTTTTTATTGCAACATTAAAGTTGTTCGTTAATTAAGACTTGAATTTATTAGAAATTAGGCGTTTCTGCTCATTTTTTCCTATACAAAATTATTTAAAAATGTTAATAATAAAATGCATTATGATTTATAAATCTAATGTATTTTCTATTTCTTATCAGAATACGTTTATAATTTATTCACAGCTGCAAGTTTTATCTCTTTTCTTTTCTGCAGTGGGTTTTTGTTTTTCTAGAATTCTCTTTTTTTTTGTTGCATATTGTTGAACACCTGCGTTTATAAATGCGTGGCGCTGATTGGCCGAGACGCATCACTCGATCGGATCAACATGCAAATGCACGCAGTCGTTTGTTGTGCGTAGCCGCGAACACATCGTCGACCTGCGTTTCCCAAGAAAATTCAACATTATCCATTCATCCGCCGCCGCAATTAGAAAAGGTCAGTGCATTAACACAATATTTAACCTCATCTACTGATTGCCGTAATTTCCCGTTCTGTATTATTATTAATTTGTGCCGCAAATTCGATTTCCAATTCCACATTTCGATATGACGCGTCGCATCCATTTTGAAATTTTCATCAACTTTTTTTTTCTGGCACAACAAAATTTTATATGCAATAAACGCCAATTCGCTTCTTTGCAAATTCGATTACATCTTAATTCCATAATGCCTACTCATAATTGCTTTACACGATTGAATCTAAATAAACGCAATAACCAATGTTTTCCAATTAGATATAAGCGCACTCTATCGTCAAATCGACCAAACACTCCGATGTTGGTTACTTATTACTGCTGCGTCGGCGTGCGTTGACTCATTAATCGTTCAGTTTTGAATATATACATCGACATTATTATTTTTTATATTAATTATATGGATGCAAGGTATTCAAAATACCAGGTCATT